ACTGGGTCCCGAAGAAAATCATTATTATTTTTGGCTCACTCAGTACCAGAACAACGGTCCCAACATAGAGGTAACTCTAAGACCACTGGGTCCCGAAGAAAATCATTATTATTTTTGGCTCACTCAGTACTAGAACAACGGTCCCAAGCAGTCCCAAGCTATTTCACTCACCCCTGCATGTTCTGCATGAATCCACACACCCCTGATGTTATCTGTCAAACTTTCATAGCGAATCAAAACAAACATAGTGTAGTAATAGAATTTCAACTAGAATAGGGTACGTTAATCGTTTGCTTGGGACCAATAGGCTACTAAAGTGGTGAGCCAATTTAAAATCGTTAGTTTCGTATTGATTGTTGGTGATAAGTCCTCGGGTTGCCTGGAGCGAGGATGATCTTGAAACAAGGAAAAATGAGTTAGTTAGTCTTCATCTATGTGATTCCTAATCTTCTATTCGTTGTTCCCTGGTTTGAAATGGTTAAGACTAGGGTTCTGATGCATGGTCACTATCGGTGTCATTCCTTAATTTTGTTGCTAAGGAATCCAATTTTGACTGACAAAGGAGCGCGCCTTTGGAGGGTGTTCCAACACTCCGAAGGGTATAAATAGCGGAACCTTTCAATTAGAATCGATTCCTTGCGATGAAGGCAAGAATGACAACTGTATCAAAACCGAATACTTCATCATTTTTCAATAGTGATGAAGTAATACCTATGGTAATACGACATGCACTAAACTAAGGACACGGGATATACTACAATAGATCAAATTACTGGTCGCAGTAGTTTTATGTCCCGAACAGAGGAAAAAAAAAAAAAACGTCAATCCGTCGTTTCTGATACCAATCCCCATATCATCTTCACCCTCCACCTCGCCCCCCACCCGACGTCGAAAGAAAAACAGATCATCCCCGAACACTAAACTTAGAAACAGACTTGGTAAAAACACCGCTCGGTGCGGCTCGGTGGCAACCTACTCATGTATGCACAGCACTGGGTTTCTTCGATAAAGCACCCGGTGTCGGTGCAACATGTTGGCACGCCACCGAACCAAAAGAGAAACCCAAACGTGGTGCTACGGGCTTCGGCTCGCCACCGTGCGGCACGGAGCCAACGGAGCTCATGATTTCGTATCGTTCGTTGTTAGTGATGCGCTATACTCGGTCCCATTTGCGTTTTTGTCAAAACTGAGTTTTTCAATGGAAGTGGTAGCAAGTAGCTCATAGTTTAATTATACTCGATGAACTCAAGAAATTTGTTCTGAAATAGTTTAGAAAAATGAGCAAGTAGGTTTTCCCTTTACATAAGAATCCATGGTGCGAAGCTAACTTAAAACGCGTTCTTAATTGCGTCCGTCATTTCTCTCGACAGTAACAGGGTCCGTTCGGATACGGATGTGTTGGCCATTTTCGAAATGTTGAAAATTATGAATAACCGGGTGAAGCAAAATGTCTAGATCAACCATAGAAAAGGGCCCATCAGCATTTGTAAACAAATCGTTCTAAAGCCCTTTCCTAACACAGCAAAGGCCGCCTACGCAAACCAACACCATCATCGGATAAGGGAAAGTTTCCCCTACATGATATGTCGTTGGTTTGCGTGGGTGGCCTTCGCTTAGTGAGGAAAGGTCTTTAGAACGGTTTGTTTACAAATGCTGGAGGGCCCTTTTCTATTGTTAATACAGAACTTCTTTGGTGCTCTGGTGCTAATTTTACCATTCATCATTCTCGTGTACGATTATGTTTGGTACATGTTGTGCTGCGCTGCGTAAACTAAAGAAAGTTTTCTAAATAAGAGGCTGTTTATAAACTACGTAGACAGTTTAGAGGGGGGAGGGGTTGGTAATTACAATTGTTTACGCAGGGGAAGGGGGATCAAGAATCCCAAAAAACTGTCTACGTAGTTAATGAACAGCCCCTAACGTTATAGTGAAGCAAATTGTATTCGCCAGTGAAAATAAGAACAAAACAATTAACTTGTAATTGACCTTTGCGGAAAAAAAAACTATGGTTTTAAGGCAATTATATTTGCCGCATTAATGCTACATGGTGAAAATCGCTGTTGCATTAATTCGCTTTGACGGCATTGGCTCTTCACAGTGTGATAGTTCCTTAGGTGCTGTTCATAAACTACGTAGACAGGTTGGGGGGGGGGGGGGTTTGGCAATTGTCCACGGTCCATACAAATTTTAATATTTCAGGGGGGTCAAGAATCCCAAAAAGGTGGATACGTAGTTAATGAACAGCCACTTTGAGATTTTTCATTTGAGCGACAGAGTACGGAACAGTCCGCCATGCTTCACGCACAGAATGACAGTTGTTTGTGGGGTTTTCCCATAGGATTAAATTCAAAAGCATGTTTATTTCAACAATATAGGATTTGGGTAAACGGTTTTTAGCGTGTCATGCCTTTTTATTTCCTTCTTGTTTCATTCGGAAAAAAGTTGCCCCAGCTTTGCTCAACCTACCAGAAAACGGCCATCCATTCCGGATCCTCCTCCGATATCGAACATGGAAAGAAACCGGTATGAGGACCAGTGGCAGAAACCGAGGCAGAAACGGCAAAACGACGCTAATAACACAAATTTTCACCGGTTCCACTGAACTGGAACCTCCGGACACCCACCCCGACGGGTCCTCGCATCCCGGACCAGGACACCAATACCCACAGGTCACCCTTAATCGCACCCAAAAAGGAGAAATAAAGATGCCCTGCCCGAAGATCTTTTTTTTTTCATTTCTTTGCAAACCGTTTAATTTTGCTTTACCCTGCACTCAACTACTAAAATAATTCCAAAATATGTATGTTTATTTTAAACATGAGAAGCATGTTTAAAATAAACATATTTATGATTGTTCGCATAGCTGTCAAACCAAACAAAAATAAATACGTTTATTTTCAACACGAATATTTTTGAAATAAACGTAACATTATTTTTATTTTAAACATTGATTTCACATGACTTCAAACATGGAATACGTTTGAAATCAACCTAATTTATGTTTGAGGCCAGAACAAACTGAGTTTACGTTTAAATTTACCTCAAATATTTTTGTTACGACGATAGTTTTTTCTGCGTGCTGGCACGGAGCCGCACGGAGCGCACCGAATAACCATAGCACGGCACCAAGCCGAATAAAACGGCTCCGCGTTCAGGTTTCTTGTTCGTATCGGTGGCGAGCCGACAAGAGGTACCGAAACCGAGTGCGTGTTAGCTTTGAACGGGGAGCAATATTATTGCACGGCTCGCAGTGCCGGTGGGTGTTTTTCCAAGTCTGCTTAGAAAGAGGCCGGTATGAGGACCAGCGTCAGAAACGACAAAATGACGCTAATATTACAAAGTTTCACCGGTTTTACTGAACTGGATCGGATCGGAAACCCACCCCGACGGCCCCCGGATCCAAACATCCACAGACTTTCCATAATCGCAGGAATTTCCATTTATTTGCTATCCATTTTATTTTGATTTATTCAGCATTCAAATGCTTAAATAATTTCAAAATATGTTTGTTTATTTTAAACATGAAAAGCATATTTAAAATAAACATATTAATTTTTGATCGCATATAGTTTTCAAATAAATCAAAAATATTCACGTTTATTTTCAACACGAATATTTTTAAAATAAACGTAACATTATTTTGGTTTTAAACATTATTATCAATGGATTCAAACGTAGAATACGTTTGAAATCAACCTAGTTTATGTTTGTGGCCAGAACAAACTGAGTTTACGTTTAAATTTACCTCAAATATTTTTGTATCGACGGTAAATTTTTCTGCGTGATAGGCTGTCTTGCAATGAACACTCATACATCTAGTTTTCACTGGAAATCCTATGTATTAGTGCTCATTGCAAGACAGCGTATATTATATGATATAAGCCATACACACTAAGATTTATTTACAGTATACTGTATTTTTTTTTACCGAATATGGAACAGCTGAACATTCGGTAATCCATTCGGTAATTTTATAATTTACAATCCGTTCAGTAAATTTTCTTTAACCTCGAGCTGTCAAAATTTACTAAACTGAATTGTAAATTTTACAGAATGATGGAAAACCCTTCGGTTCATGGTTTAGTTATAATTTTTACCGAAATAACTGTAAATTGTTTACCTGCATGAATAAAAAGTAATGATTTTTAATTGATTTTCTTTCGTGTGTTTTATTCAAATAATGATGATTACAAACCAAACGAATCGATTGACTCATAAAACGTTTATTCGCGTTCGTACAAACATAATACTCCCATGTTATTGAGAACAAGTAAACCACACAAGTGCATTTGATTTGATGAAGGCATTAGACCCAGCTTACGTCTATGGTGGCTGAAAACAATTGGTCCAGAACCTGGTCCAGAATCAAGGATTATAGTACAACATTAAAGTACTTACTTTTAACACCAGAGAACCGAAGTGAAATCAATTACGAAATGGCGACAAATGCTGAGTTAGACAGAATTAAATTCACAAATCTGTTCCGTAATGTTTACAATAATCTGGTACTGTACTACGGTTTTTTTTTGTAAAAGATTATTTTTACAGTACATTCGCCACACTTTTTACAGTATCACTGAATTACAGACCGATACAGTTTTGATCAGTAATTTTTATTTGCAGATTTCGGTAAATTTATGTAATTTACAAAAATTCAGCAGTTTTGATTGCGGAAAATTAGTAAAATTATATTTTTACAAAACTTTCGGTAAAAATTATATTTTACAGAACGAATCCAGCAAAAAAAGTACCGAACACTATTTATGAAATTTGGTGTGTGGGGTATAAGGATACTTATGAGATATTTTAAAATATTTTATTGATTATAGAACTAAAGTCTAGAGTGGGGTGCCCCTAGAGCTTAAATATGTCTTGTCACTACACCCCTTGTTTTCCCTTTTTTGACATCTGTCTCTGTCACCGGTTGGCGAACGCTTCAAACCGCACACATCACTCTTTTTCCCTTTTCTCGCCCATTTTTTTTTCTCCAGCCAGCTCGCAAGCAGTTTTCTCTCCGTTGACTGCTGGTGGTGTGTCAAATATTTTCTCGTCGGCCAAGAGATAGGAAGTTGCTCGCTGCTGCTGAAATCGCTGTATTCGTGGAAAGAAAAAAGGGCAGAAGTGAAAAAATCCCTCATCTTTTCCACCTTTTCAGAAAGGAAGTGTAAAAAGTCGGAAAATTGTCGAGAGTAGTGTCTCGGAAGTGGTCAAACTCGTGGTGTTAGGAAAGTATACTTTTTTGGTGGTGAAATAGTGCAAAGAAAAACCAACCATGGATGAGGAGTATGACGCCATTGTCCTCGGCACTGGACTGAAGGAGTGCATCCTCAGTGGAATGTTGTCGGTGTCGGGAAAGAAAGTGCTGCATATCGACCGCAATAAGTACTATGGTGGCGAGTCGGCCTCGATCACTCCACTGGAGGATTTGTTTTCCCGGTTCGGTGTGCAGCTGCCCGAGGGAAAGTACGGCCGCGGACGGGACTGGAACGTCGATCTTATTCCCAAGTTCCTGATGGCAAACGGACTGCTAGTCAAGCTGCTGATCCACACGGGCGTGACCCGTTACCTGGAATTCAAGTCGGTTGAGGGCAGCTACGTCTACAAGGGTGGCAAGATTGCGAAGGTCCCTGTCGACCAGAAGGAGGCCCTTGCGTCCGATTTGATGGGTAAGTAAGGTAGTTAAGGGAAAAAATATCCATCATTCATCCATCCAGCTAGCAGCACCTCTAGAAAATTCGCAATTATATCAGTCGGGTGATTTTTTTCTCTTACTCTCCATTGTTGTAATAATCACCATCATTCGTTATGTCTCGGCCTCGGACGATCGGTTCGACGAGGTGAGCGAGCAGGGCGCACAGATCTCACGCAAAGAGCAGTCACTGAAGCACGAAGCGAAAAAGGGAAGGAACATATTTCGGGGGGTGAACCGATTCCATTGTTGACTGTGGATGTAATTTACTCAATCAGGAATCAGTGGATGGTCGTTTTATGCATGAATCATAGAATCCTTTCCCTATTCAAATTTAAATCTTTTAAGCATATATTCTCGGCCTAAAAATTGAAAAGGGCATATCAGGTTTTGTAAACATAACTTACACCATGATGCCATTGATTTGCGTGGGCGGCCTTCGGTTTTCGTACCCTTTTACAAAATGTTGTTTTCAAAAGCTGATAAGCTCTTTTCAATTGTTGGGCGAGAATTATGCTGCAAATAATTTAAATTTACTTTGCTAGATTATTGAACATTGATCTGCAAATGCATTCTTTATTACATTTTTGTATCATCCAGTAATCCCTCGAGCGTTTCGGCTGCGGTTATTGCAGTTTGACTGTCATCACCGCCACTGCCAAACTGACAGCCGATGGAGCCCGAGGCGATTCTGCTCACTCACAACAGAGAGAAGGGACTGAGCTGGAACGGCAAGCATAAAAGCAACATCATGTTCAAGGGGGCGATTGAGAGTGTAATGACACGTCAATATTGAATCTTTCTTCCCTATCCGCTTGGTTCAAGAGATCTGCGAATGTTATGCGAACGGACCGACGGAAAAAAGGCTATTCGGAGGAGAAAGAAGTACCCTCCCATAACGTTTCGCATTGTTTTCAAGCCCAATGAGCTGTCTTTATATGGATGGTATAATATAAGGCAGTGGCTCATTCACCTTTCCTTTGGCTCTACTGGTTCATAACTTCGTAGCTGATTCGTGGTGTCTTCAACAAATTGTCACACAAGCAGTAGAAAGAAGCGGTTGTCCAAAGAAAAAGCTCAAGAAAAGGAAAGCTGAAGCACAAACTTGTTACAACATCCGATTATCGATCGTGCGCTTCATTGAACTTGGCGGTTTGCTTATTTTTTTGAGTTACTGTATTATTGAATCTAATGACACATACTTTTTTTTTTGTATCATTGCACACTTTTCTTTTGGCTTTTACTGCACCAGCTGAGGTGAGTTGCCATTGTGTGTGCACCATCCGAGTAGGTAATCATTTTACTGAGAGTTTGTAAGCGTCTGCCGCATGCTTCACTTTATTACGATTCGCTGGAAGGATTACTCAACTTTCTAAGCCGTGCGTTACTCAAATCCATTTGAAATTGATGCCTTCCCAAAACCATACACATGTTTCAAATCGTCTACATTGGTTCTTCCCCGCATTCCTGATTAAAATTGACATCGGCCCTGACGGCAGCGCAAAACTGGTTTTGAAGCTCGACAATCTAAAATAATTATGTGTGTATCGTTTTCGGCATACTCCGAATTGAAATAGATGCTTGGCTGTAGGATGATAGTCTATCTCTAACTTATGGTACCAAACGTGTGTGGGTAAGACACTTTTAACTTATAGAAAAGGGAGGTAAAATGGCCATATGTGGGAAGACGAGGTACCATGTTCGATGCAGGTACAAACGCAGGTCCGAAAGAGCTCCGAATAATCAACCATTAGTGTTTTACTAACAACTAGTCAACCTTTACATTCGCCACGAAAATCTGTTTAAGGATATCCGTTTTTGGCCAAAATATTGCTGCATCTGTCAAATGCATCAAAATTCGTTTGCCTCAACAAAGAAGCTAAGAAGTTGGTTGATCTGTTTTTATCGAGTTTCGTGTTAAAAATCAATGTTGAATAATAAAATCGTCTTTAACTGGAAGAACATAAGGTTCAATTGACTTGATTTGCTGCGATGTTGAAATATTCAAACCCAGTTTTATTCGGTGCGTCATTTCATATTATGAAAAGCTCTTGCCATTTCATTCCTTGTACTATTTTACTTAAAACGACGCGAGCTTTTTGCAATCCGAAATGATGCGTCAAAAAAAAAACGGTTTGAATTTCTCGACAACGCACTAAAGTAATTTGAACCATAAGCTTCAACGATGTTACGGTACTATTAGGTTCAATTTACTTTCATACATTTTTGAAAAAATCAAAAGCAGTTTTTTGGACGCATCATTTCAGATTGCAAAAATCTAATTTTATTCCTTTACACAAAATGACGCACTCTAAAATGATGCGTCGCTGGCAAACGCAATTGGTTTTTTTTACTCCATCGTGTAATTGAGCTAGTACAGCACCACAAGCCACTTTTGAGGCATCTGTGATTAGAATAAACTGTTTTTGAGAATCGGGAAACTGAAGAACGTTTGCTGACACTTCTTCAGGGTATCGAAAGCGTTGTCAATCTGTGTTCCATACAAATTTAACATTCTTGTTTAATGAATATTGGCAAAATTTGGTATGAATCGTCGATAAAAGTTGCAAAAAGCGATGGATCGACGGATTTGTTTTCCGTACTGAGTACCAATGCCACCCAATGCTACCGACGCCAGTAAGACCGCTCCCACACCTGGGCCCTACCTATCGACCCATCAACCCATGGACCGGGGACCAACGGCTTTACTTCCCGTCCGAAGGAAGACGTGATCAGAGATTTTATGCCTTAGAAAATCCCGGCGACGCCGACTGGGATTCAACCCAGGCCTTTTGGATTTGAAAAATGATGATTTATACACTGAGGAAACTAGAATTACGATTTTCATAATATGTTTCGTATGAACGAGCATTTTGAGCTATGGAAATAGTTTCAAACGACACGTATGATATTCATAGCATGCTTATGAAAATTGCATGACTCAAAAATGATTCCCATACGAAATGCGTCTAAATTGTATGCGTCGTTCGTATGATTTGTTCTATGATAATGCACATTGTGGAGGAAGCCCGCATAAAGCTGTCGACATCATCGTCTGAAAGCTATTCGGGTAATCATTAATTTACCGGCAACCAATTCGCGATATATTCCACATAAAGTTGATCGATGTTACAAAACCATCCATGGACCTTACTGACTACCATAACCTTTAACATTAAAGTTCTCAACCCATAAGTAAAAAGGTTCTGTTATAGTTCTCATTCCGAAAATGTATGGAGAAAACAACTATTTTGAATGGTAATGGTTCTTAACAACCCATTATTTTTAAGGTCCACTTCCAAAAGACCATAATACATAAGGTTAAAAGTTTATCACACAAACGTTCATGTAAAGTTCAATAACCATTTCAGTTAAATTTTAGCAGGGTTTATAAACTATTTTTTAACCATTTTCGATAAGACAAGTTATGGTTCGCGTTTATGCGTGATTGCTCAAATCCTCTCAAATTTCAACATAAGCTTCAAATTGACGACATTCTAGTGCTTCCCCGCATTCCTGATTGGAATTTAAAAGGGCCCTGTGGCGCATGGTTTATCAGCAGAAAACTGGTTTTGGAGCTTGCTAATCTTTTGATGTAGGACTATAAATATCTTTGTGGACTATACTGGGGTGCAAATCAACAAATTACGTGACGAAATAGTGTCCGGTTTTGAACGTTTATAACATGGTCATTAGACTGGCCCACATTTATATGGGAGAAATTTTTAGATAGAAGATTAGGTATTTGGCAAGTGGCTCACATGGATAATTCGTCGGTTTCATGCAATATTGTCACAACTCATAATATACTATTTTCCGTTTAATCGGTTAAAAGCTTACCAAATTTAAACGCCGTACACACTTATACCCCGTTCACATTAGAGTGTATATCACGTGATATACCCTCCCTAATAAACAAATACCATAGACGAACGATAACCCAAATGATTGAACTATTTCACAAATTGTTTGGATGACACCCCCCGAACACGTCGTTTAGCAAATTAACCATAACATTTTTATTATGGCTGTCTTCAAATATTATAAATTAACAATATGGTTCACTCTTCTATTATCCCCAAGACACGATTTTTCCCGACACTAGCGGAGTGACGCGAAAGGTGACTAGTACACTGTAAATTGAGCGTAACAAGGCTATCAAAAACAACTCACAGTTGAGTAAAATTTTACGCACATGGACGTTGCGATTATTAGGCCTGTGTTTTCACCACTCGTATGTCAATACTTGGGAAATCGACTAGTCTTAAGGCATTTAAGAGATAATGTGTTTACGCTGGTTACCGTGTAAGCTCTATCAAGGTAATTAATCATAAGTTTTGGAATTCAACATTGGGGTTTCGTATCGAATGCTTAACCCCATAGATGTGTTTTTGAATGAGTTTTGTAAATCGGTTCACAACCAACAAAAACATTGGCCGGAAATGCACTACTGTTAAGAATTAAAAATATTTTCAAAGTTCAGTAGCGTATAATATAGTTACCAACTTCCAGCTGGTAGCTTCGCCTTCGGTAGTTACTTAGCTGTTAAATTTCCAGCTGTACCGTGGATCCCCGGTAATCTAACCATTCTTAATTTGTACGGTTTTTTGTTCTAGCCTCGCTGTCATCTAGCGCATGGAATAGAGTACAGGCCCGAACGCAATGTAGGTGGAAGTGGAACAGAAACGGCAAGTTTGACAGTTATCACAAATTACATCAAGATGCCTAATCGGAGTCGATTTGGTTCTAAGGCTGAGAACCATTTGCCGAGTTAAATTTAACTCGTGGTTAAAAGTGACATTTCGAAAGTTATTTTCTATGTTCGAAAATCCTGTGCTGTCGATCGACCGGTTTTCGAGAAGAACTTAGCCAAGGTTGTGAAAATTTAACTTCTTGCCTGTCAGACAAAAACCACGCTCAGATAGCAGGGTTAATCGATAACTTTCCATCTGTCAAATTTTAACCAAAAGTTAAAAT